TCCGATTGATACTTATGTGGAGTAGATAGGATGGATTTCATTGAACAAATTGCTGCGAATTCGAAGCCATGACGGTGCGCGAATGAAGGAGTAGTATGTATGGGAAAGTAGAGCGAGTTATGCCTTGGTTATTGGAACGAAGAACTGAGGTGCGTGAATGTTGTTTTTCTAGTTTTCGTAGAGTGACGTCTTTCACCTCTCCTGATGTTTCGGAATATACTTTTTATGTTGTGGTTGTAGTACATTGAACGATGTGGATAACTTTTTTGAAGTGTTTGTGAATATACTGAATGGAAGTTGTATGAGATGTTTAGTCGTACTCATTGTATTGGTAGAAGTATTGTTTCTGGTACTAAACGATGGTATTGATAAATGAATGAATCTGAGTTTAGTACGCTGAGTTGATGTGGAAAAAGCAATTTTCTGGTACGTTTGTTGGTCGGAATATGCTTGTTGCCTTATAGGCAGGTAGAGTTTTGAAGCTTAGAGCTTTTTCCCGTCTTTGTACTATCTATGTTGAAAACGAGCTGCATACTCATAAAAATGCTGTTTCATGAATCATGACGTCAGATACTCATGTATATGGTAGTTTCGACATGGTGATTCACTTTGCATCGGAAATAGTTTTTGGAAGTTTTGGAGATAATTGATAAATGCTGTTTTTTTGCATGAAACCTTGACTCTCGTTAAATTAATCACACTTCTATTCAGTGGAACAGGTCTAAAGGTGCATTGGGAAAAGTTGATTTCGTTTTTAATTTTTATTGTAGAGACGGTTAAATAATATTTAGTTTATTTTTTTTGGTTTTCTTGATATAGTTAGTAATGTTTTGGTTTAGATTGTTTATGGTGCAACGATGGGCGAGGGTGCGGGTAAGGGAGAGAATGGCTAGAGATAAGGGTAATGATGAGATCGACGTTAATGTTAGCTTCTTTCGACAGTAACTATGCTCATCATCACTTTCACCTTCTCATCCTGCCCGTCACCGGCACCCTCATTGTGAAATTACCCTGAGTGGGTAATATCAGTATTGTTGAAGAAGACCCCTATTTTCACCCGATAACCCCCTTCAAAAATGGTGCCATACGATGGAGAATTAAATTCTGCACCTAATACAATCATTTATGGAACTAGCACAGCTCTGCAGGCGAATCCAGATCAGAAAAACGTGCATCTGGTGCTAACTTTAGCTATGTTAAAAAAAGAGTCAAATCTTAGGAGAAAGTATGTTAACTTAAAGAATTATTTAGTCTCGAGTTTAAAATGGTATGAGTAAATTTAAGTTGCGTAAATGAAATGCCTTTATTGACAATTTGATCGTATCTAGAAAGAAATCTGATGAATCAAATAGTAACACAAATAGGATCTCATGTCTGTTACTGTGATTATATCTATTATTAGCCACTTATTGTAACCATATAAAAGATTTTGACGAAAAGTCAGATTAAAATCGAGTTTTTGATTAACAATCGAATAGTCATTTACACAATTTTAACAATCGATTAAAATAAATTAAAAATAATTATTATGAAATGCAATCCATCATTTGGTTTCAGATATCATATTAAAATCAAATAAAAAATAATGTCATTATAATCTATTAAAATTCGATTATTAATCGAAAAATCGGTTTTAATCTGACTTTTCGTCAAAATTTTTTTACATGAGTTTCACATAGAACAACTTGGATTTCTTAGATCTTTGGTATTATAGTTCAGTTCATGTATGTGCAGTTCACCCTGCAAATTCAATTTCAGATAGGAGAATTTGTCAAATTAGATCTTGAGAAAAATTATGTCTAGCTGATGTGCACTGAGCAAACCAAAATCCACTTTCGCAGTCTTTTTTACCAGTGTATTCAAGAGATACTGCTAATTAAACATTTCAGTTCCAATCTTACACAAATCTGTCTCGATTGAGAGAACCCATACAACAATATTCAGCATACTGTTTCTAGAGTGATCATTTTCCACACTTAATACAAAACCATAGAATAATCTTCATGTGGACAGAAAATTTTTTAAACGAAATCAGAAATTAACAATTGATAATTTGTTGATTTATTGATAAAAATCTATAGAATGTATATGTGAAGAGAACTTTACAAGGCAAGGGACGGTGTCGACCTCAGATTCTTTTATGAAAATTTGTAGTATTTTTGATAGATTTGAAAAAAGTGCTTCAAAGCTCGGTTCTTCTAGTAGCGCAGTTCTGATTTTGCCACTATATCTAAGAAAAGTAGTTCGTCGTCGTTAACGACTGTGCAAGGACACTACAATAAAAAAACAATGATCTTAGATCACACCGTTTACAGCTGGCACTCACAATATCTTATGGGTGTGCGTGTGGGTGTGGGTGTGGATGAAGGAAGTACCTATACCCAAACCTACGCCACACCCACACCCCATACTCACACGGACGCCCATGCTCACACCCACACCCACACCCACACCCACACCCACACCCACACCCACACCCACACTCACACCCACACCCTGAAAATGGACGACAAGTTTTTAATGTATCAGTCATAACCTTTGGGAATGTAGGAGGAGAATTTTTCAATCCCATGGGGAGTACATTGAATTGGAAAAGTCCAAAAGGTGTAATAAAAGCTGTTTTTGGTTTATCTTCTTCTCTTATTGGAATCTGGTAGAACCCAGACTTCAAATCTAACTTAGAAAACTACTGATAACCTGGTCCAAGTTTTCTAATTGTATCTTCCATGTTAGGTAAAGGTGACGAATCTTTAATAGTTACTAAATTCAATTTCTTTGTAATCGACTACGAGACGAAATGTACCATCTTTTTTCTTAACGAGAAAGGCAGGAGTAGCATATGGAGAGTGAGATTCGGAAATTAGTCCAGCTTGTAAAAATTTTTGAATCATATTAAACATATGTTCCTCCTTATCCGGTTGTGGATAAGGTTTCGAACCTGGTGAGGAATGAGGGTTTGTATTAATTATGTGATGGATACGTGTCTTCGTAATGTTATGTCTCTGTGTATCGAAAATAGGTCGGAAATTGAATAGAAGCGCAAGGAGAACATTTTGTTGATTTTTATTATCAAAATGTTTAATTAATTTACGAAAATCATTTTCTGCAAAAGAATGTACGTTACTAACAGTAGAAGGTATACTATTAGTTAATTGAGTTACATCTTGTGGAGGTGTTTTATCATTTGATACGCCAAGAAGAACTGGTTCATCGCCAATCAAATTGGCGGCACCACAAGGAGTATTCAAATGATGTGTGATTTTATTACTGTGAGGTGTAGAAGAATATTGACACAAATAACCAAGGCAAGTACCTTGATTAATAAATTGTGAACGAAACGAAAGATTAGATAACGTAATGTGAAACACATAATTATGAAATTCAAGAAATTTCTGTGGAACCGTTAATGAATTACATGATGAAGAGAAAAATGAGTGAGGTACAAATAGTGAACAAATAGACGAAATACAAGTCGAAACCGGAACAGAATAGCTTGAGTGAGAAGGAATATGTATAGAATTCGAAACAATAACTGGTACGAACTGTGGTTGGATATCATGATCAAATTTTATTTTATATAGTTTGTTATTATGCTCAATAGAAACAAATTGTCTTCGAATGTCAAATTTAAGATTATATTGAATTATATAGCCTATACCAAGAATTGGATCTGTACATAAATTTTCAGCTACATGGGCTTTTATTTTAGTAATTTGATTAGCTATTTTTATATGTAGTTCAACAACACCATGCACATGAAAAGGTGCTATTCCATCAGCTAGTACAAAGAAATAAGGAAGCGTGTTTAGATAAATGAAATCGTGTGGATATTGTGTTATTATTTTTTTATTGATAAATGTAGTGGTGGCCCCAGTATCAAGAAGAATCTGTATTTTATGATCGTTAACTAATGTGGTGATAAAGATTAAAGATAAGTTCGATGGATTTAAATTAAATTTTCCGAGGGCAGCACCACCTTTCGACGTCCTCGACTTTAAAAATGGGAACAGACAGATGCCTGATGCCCCGTCTGTTGACATCGTGAGCAAATTTCAAATGACGAAAGAGGTGGAAGAGGATCAAGCAAAGGTGGAATATTTGCAGTAGAATTATTTTTTGCTCGAGATGCAAGATTATTATTTTTCGGTGGTTTGTTATAGTTACTATTGTTACTATTCTTGTTGTTCGGAAAATTGTTTTGATTATAGTTAGGATGGTATGGTGTTCTGAAGGTATTATTTGATGGAGGATGATTATGTTTTGGATGAATAGCTTGTTGATTAGGTAGAAATGGTTGATTGGGATAGTGCCAGGGTCGACGTGGTCGATAATATGTTTGATGATTTGGATGAGATGGTACAAAAGTTTGGAAATAGCAATAAGGATGATTATTATTATGATTGTTATTTTTATAGGTGTTGTCATAATTATTTTCTGGATGAGTTGTTTGTGGAATAGTTTTATCAGATTGTGTTGGAGGATTTTTTGATCGTGATGGTGTTACTATAGATGTTACTGGACTAGGTGGATTGGTTTTATTAAGATCGTCAGAAATACATATATTAGATAAATGAAATAATTCCTCCACTTCAATCGCATACTCAAGAAATTGTTTCGTTGTTGTAGGTTTTTTCTTTCTTATTTCTAATTGAAGTGTAGGCTTTGTTTTATTAAGGAGATTTCTTAACTTGGTAAGCTCGCTCATTGCTGAATCAGCCTCATTACAAAGTTTTATTACTTCATTGTAGAAGCTACGTACTGTTATATTGATTCATGGGCAAAAAATTGAATAATATCAGCAAAGTTTTACAGCAGCTTAAGTAAATAACGAAAAAAGACAAATAATTTTTAGTTTATAGTCATATTACGACGTTCCGATAAATTTATTATCATTTTCAAGTAAAAGGTACAAGGGAGGTAAT